AATTTGCTGCAGCAGCCAATCTTTTTTTTCAGTGTACATATCTATATCATGTTTTATTTTTTAGAAAATGCAGTTGTTATATATATTTTTTAATAAACATGTTTTTTTAATATCATTGCAAGATGAGAGTTTCATAATGCACATTATAAGATATAATAAATACGAATGAAATAGTTGAAATATCTGATAATGCTTTCTTAAAATCATCAGCTATTGTACATTTCATATAAAACGTATCGTGGAGATATTTAAATAAATAATTATTATAAAATTTTAAACAAATAAACAATAACTATTCATTTTTACAATGGATGGTTGTATTATTTAAAAAATCAATTACATTACATTCCACTTTACAAAAGATAAAAAAAAATTATTTGAGGGAAAACGGCTATATGTCTGTCGCAATGACACAGTCAGTGATTTCGTCCAATACCGTGTTCTAATTTTGAATTCTAAACAAATGTTTGCAGCAACCCGTATAATTGGTGTGTACGTACGTACATGTATGTATTGTGCGCGTGTGTATGTACACGCGCACTCGGAACTCCGGTCGGAGTTCGTAATTATAGAGGCGTCCGCATCCTACAACGTAGGAATTTCATTTTCCTAAGGTGCGAGAAAAGAAGAACGTAATATCATGTAATATTCGTGCAATGCGGTGCAATATCGATATTCATGGTATGTTGAAATATCACTCGACGAAATTTATCTAATACATAGTACCTGCGACTTTACAACACTCGTAATACAAACGAAATCCGAATGAAACGTGATTCCGTCATTTAGAATTAAAAAAATTAAACCAAAACTTTATACTTATATGGATACATAAACATTTTACTTTACTGTTTATAAGTTCAGAACACTTGCATTTTCTCACAAAAGAAAAAAGTTCGGTTTAAAAAAGTCCTTCAAAAATTTTGAAAAAATTCATGCGGATCGAGAATATTAAATTATTTTTTTTTCTGTAAACTTTAATTTTGAAATTAAAACACACACACACACACATATTGTAAAAATAAGTTTTTACATAAAAAATTCGATATTGCGAAAAATTCTCGCATAATTTCTTTAAAAAACATTTTAAAGCTTAGAAAGCTTATTTTAAAATACTTTTTCGTTAATTTTTGTCCGATAATGTTTTGCTATAACGCTTCAAAAATATTTAATTAAAAATATTTTTAAAATACCAATTTTCAATTTTATGTAATTTAAAAATAAAATAACAATAACGAAAATAAAAAAAACAAATTTACAGTTATCTCTCCTCTTTAAAATACATTTTGAAAAATTTTTCTATGATTTTTTTCCGAGATATTTAATTTTTCGTACAATACAAGAAAATTGCATGCGTTCCCAAATTTATGAGCAATAGTATATATAAATTTTTATTTTAATGAAATATATAAATAAAAAATGTATGTAATGAATTTTACATTTATTGTGACTAATCATATATCATCAAATTAAAGGAACTTCAGAGAATACAAGATTTAAAAAAAAATTTAGGAATCAATTAATCTGTAATTTTTGAAGCCTTTTTTGCTATTCTTTAAATTTAAATTTGCAATATTAGAGAGAGAGAGAGAGAGAGAGAGAGAGCGTAATCAACAATTTACTGAAAAATCAGAAACTGTATTTACTGTTCAACGTGTACTATCTCAAATGATCGCCATATCAAACAAAAGGCGGTACGTAAATCACAGAGGTTCGTTTTACGAGTTTCAGCTATCGTCTACTCGAAGAGTAGTACAGTAAAGTGACGGAACAGGTTCTAAGTTAAATCTCGATACTTTCCACAAGCGAGAGATTTGTATCGTGTAAAGTAAAGAGAAGACTTATGTAGTTTCATAAGAGAATGGCGTGAATTCGAGATCACGACTAATATACTATGATTTAACAATTTGATGATTCCATTATCAAATTCTATTTTACATAATTTTTGTGCAAATTGGGTTAATTAAACGAATCAGGAAATAATGACAGATTACATATTAATCCAAAGTCTTTAACGTTATTTTTAAGAAAAGTGTTGAGGGACATCAGATATTAACAATTAGTAATTAAAGATAAAAAATTGTTTTGTAAATCTTTGAACAAGGAAATAAGATAAAATCATATTCCTGAATTAATTTAAGTAAACCATATTTTAATAATATTTTGATTCCAGGTTTTTTATTGCAAAAGTATACATTATTAAATAAATATGATGAATTGGAAGACCACAAATAATAACTTTGGTCAATAATATCAAGGAAGAATCGCCAAAAAATTCATTATTCTTTATTCATTATTTATTTATTTATTTATCATGTAATATTCTGTGCATGTAACAATTATGCTTCATTACATGCATTTTTAGGAAGTATATTAATAGAAAAACGTAAATTATTCAGAAATTCTATGAAATATTTTAAAGATGATTAAATCTACATGATATAAGCAAAAAGACAAAATTATAAATCTATATTTGTATAGCTTAAAAAAAAAGTGAATTTATATTTAAATATATTTATTTTTAAATATATCACTTTTTAATTTCATTGGATTATACAGTCGCGCTTCGAATTAGTATTACTGGAATATAAATGTGTACTATTCTCAGTGATATTAATTCATATATTTAGAGTATATTTATTAATATTTTTAATATTATTAATATTTCAAGTAAAATGCGATATATTTCATGATTCATTTTTTCTATTCAGAGAATAATTTCCTCGAGCTTTTCTATTTTAATCTGACAAGTCCAAAATTCGACATTGCGTCGTTTATACTGCTTATGCCGTTAATCGAGACCCGGAACATCTATTTCCGATGATCTGGAGAACGTTTCAAAGATGGAATTCACCCTCTTCTTTATTTCATCTCTCACTTCGAGGTCGTTGTACGTTAACACCCTCGATTTTCGTTCTCCCTCATGCTAACCTCTTTTAACAATGCACGGTGGTACTGCCATGTTAAAGGCAGAAACGGAATTTCACAGAATTCTCCACAAATTAGAAATGCATTTAACTTCGTAGTTTTAAGTTTATGCATTCAAAACATAAATTAACTTTACTTCACATTATAAAATTTGTGTGATAGTCGTACAAGGGACATCGTTCGTTTTATCGTGTAACTCCGGTACACATATATTAGTCATCATATAATTATACTAAAATTTAAGCTAAATTTTTCTTGGAAGAAAATAGGATAAGAATTGTTCATTTTACCAAATTAATATTGGAAAATTATTTTTTACTTCTTTCAAAAAAAATTGTAAATACCTATATTTTAAATATATAGAAATATGTAAGTATTTTTCTTCCTATCTTTCCGAATGCGTATCTACAAATATATATCAAATTTTCTCTTTATCCATAAATATTTTATTTTATAAGTTATATCTATTTTAAGATCACGCTATAAGATCAAAAACGAAATAGCTTTGGTATCATATTCCGCTTCTTGCTCTATAGCTACATTCTGCTGTGTTTCTCGGATGTAAAGTTCCTTAAATTTCGAGGAACGATTTGCAGGAGCGATACGCGCTAGAGCGATAAATATAACGGCTCGTTTCTTTTTATCGTGCAAAACGCCGCCGATGTTCTCCGCTTCCACCTTCAGTACGAAGCACCGTGGCGCGCATTCTCAGGCGTGTGTTTATACGCATTGTCTCATATATTACAAATTATCTCCCACTTGCAACAACGAGTTTTCACCAGACAATACTGCCGCGATAAAGTTGAAATTCACGGACTGCGGCCATGAATTATTGGCGCCTTTAATTCCGCGGCTTTAGGTTTATACACTTTAGCGAGCATTTCTGCGTTCACGGGTAATTTTCCCGGCGGTAAAATGCCCAAGTTCGGACATTATTATATGCCTGGAAATATCAACTTTTTTTTTAGTAGTATAACGCTACTTTTTGAGCGTTTCATTAAGCTCGAGGGTGCGTTAATATTCTCTCTCTCTAGATCGCTCACTCAGCCACTTTGGAAATCGCCTTTTTATGATACGCTTTTCATTTTATCATTTAGGATCATTTAATTAATATTTAATATTTTTAACATTTTTTGCCATGCACATATGTGTAAAATTTTTTCACTGATATAGCTATAATTCTTTCTAATATACATATATACGCTTAACTTCAATAGTCATAATTTTATTTTATACGAAGCTATACATATATTAAATTTTCCTTTAAGCATAAATCGCAAAAAATATTTATAGCCTTTTAATTATCAAGGTAAATGTTAATTTTTATTAACATTTTAATCATTTATATAGGCTTTTATATTGTTTTTATTAACATTTTATTATTTATTATCATTTTAAATGATTATAGTGGTTATAGTAATTTGATTTATACTTATAAAGCATACAGTTTTTCTGTTTCGGTCAGAACGAGATCAAATCAGAAGGAAATCAAATTTAATAGTTAGGAAACTTTTGTTGAAAACTTATATAATCTGCATAGTTTATTTTGATCCACGCAAAGGTTATATATTTAACTTCTTTTTATAAATATTTATAAACATATCCAATTTTCTATATTTCAAAATGTACAGAAAATAATCAACCTTTTTCGAATAAAAAGATTTGACTTCTTTTATTATTTTTAAGTACACTCTCTCTATTAATATACAAATGCTTTTGCGATTTTCTTTTTTCTTATACAATACTTTGTATCTTCTTTCACATTTTTTTGGATATTATATATATAAATATATTCCTATCTTTTAATACATTTAGTAACAGTTAAAATATCGAATATATAATATCTAACTTTCTTTAGATCTTTCATGAGATCTTTCATGAGATCTTTCATTTTCATTATAAATGAAAATTAATTTCGTATCGATGTTATCTGAATTATTAATAACATGCCATCCCAAGAAATCTCAAATTTTCTACATAATACTTATCTTTTAGTCGAATTATTACATCGTTATGTAATTTCCTCGTAAAGCAATTTAATCCATATGTATTATAGATCATACCCTGAAAAAAATGCATGTAATTTTACATGGAAATTACATGTTTATGATTGGAAAATTACCTAAATATGATTGGAAATTTACAATTTTCAGTAAATTTCCAAGTATATTTATGTAATTTAAATAATTTTCCAGTCATATATATATGTAATTTCCATATAAAATTACATGCATTTTTTTCAGTGTATATTAATACTAATTATATCTTTCATCGATTTTAGCTTTATAAGATAAGTTCAAGAGTTTAATGACTTTTTAGGAATAAACAATTTAGGAACTTTATTATTTAAAATTTTCAAATAACTTCTATGTACAAGAAGTACGTTGAAACTTAACGATCCTATAACATAGTAAAAAACATTTTGTACTTGTTAAGATATTTCTTATATTAATTTGTATATAATGTTTATGTTATTTTCTAACAGATTCATCTTCTGTTAAATTAACAAAAATTTTCGTAAAAGTAAAAAGTGGATCGTTTGGAATACGTAAAATATGTTAAATTTAACACAAATTTTCAACATAACTTATTATTAACCTGTAAGATATTAACTTTAAAATTATAATGTATATAGAAAAATTAAATAAATCTTGTTATAGCAATAAAAATAATTGCAGCGTGACTGCTTTAAGAATAGTAATTAAAATTTAAAATGACGTATCTAATCAAATATAATATAATAAATTCTAAACTGCAGATTTTTCATCAGATTGCGTATTTGATTCATCAAATCCTCAAAGGCCAAAGAATGTAATTATGCTTAATTTTCATATACTTAATTATTTCATATCTTTTCATGACTTTTACCGTCTTTTGCACAATGAACTTGGACTGTTAAACATCTACAGCAAGTATTTACTTTGATCTCGTTCTGCTCGACTCATACAACGAGTCAAAAGAAAGCGCGGCTAAGTGATTAACTTTCGTCGTGCTTCGTAGTAAATGAGTAAGAAATTGTAGATTAACTTCGCGGTTTTAAATTCACGAATTTTTATTACGCATACCCCTCGCTGCTTATTCACTTTCTGACTGAAGCGCGAGACGAAAAAAGTTTTCAAGATTATTATCGAGCGAAAAAGCCAAGAGCTTCTACTTTTTTGGAGTTTTCGCCATCAGGTATCTCGGAATATCGTTCTGCGGCGAATTCGTGCGTATAATTGGAAAGGAATCCCACCGCGTTTTCCTTTCGCCCTTACTCTCGAGAACTGAACTCGACACGATGGTTCCATTAATGAGAAATCTTGGAGCTTATGCAGAGCGTTTTAGAATTGTTCTTTTTTACTTTGTTTATATTCCCTGAAATGTTTGCAATACGTTCCATATTCTGTTATATGAGAATTTTATTTAGCTGAAGCAGCATTTATTTGAGTACAATAAAATAAATATAAAAAATATAATAAATATAAAATAAATATAAAAATGTGACGAAAAATGATAAAATACGTGGAGAAAAGAAATAATAATTTTTTCAATAATTATTGCTGCTATATATACCTATATATGTATATACTATATATATATTAAGAGATTTAAAAAAGTATATTGTAATGAGAAAACGTAGATGATTATTTTGATTTAGTTACTGTATTTTGTGCAAATCTATCTTCTAATATTATTTTATCTACAAACGATACCTAACGCTTACATAATCACAAAACTAAAATCGTAAACAAATTTCATTAATAATATACCAAAGTAAAAACAATATATGTAGTTTATAATTATTTCTTTTGTGGCTTTCAAAGAGATGATTGCTCGTCTCTTATAATTAACGTAAATTGTACAATTATAACATCGTTCCAAGTACTAATTATAATGGTATATCACAATCACGCAGCTACTTTATATTTAACATTCACTCACCTCAATGATACTGATACAGATCATGAGGTAGGGTGGTCGTATCCGGAAGCTCGGCTTCCTGCATGGCAGTGGATATCTGGGCGTTGGTCTGGGTGTAACTTCATCGTCACGTATTTTTTTATAGGAGGACGTGACGATGATCGGTGATTCCGGGGAATAGGGCGAGCCGGGTCCCGAGTATGTCGCATCCGTAGAATCCGACGATATCGTCGACAAAGTCGGCGAGTTTTCCAGTAACGCTGCCTCGGCGTCCATTTTAGTATCTTAAACGAACAGAAAGAGTAACGATTATTACTGCAAAACGGTACTTTAGATAAATGTATACATTAAGAAAAATATATTTTAAGTGTAGTGTGCAATACACAACGCATTATAATGATTAAACAAAATACAATAAAATGATTTAAATTTTAAATGCTTGTCTAATGATTTATTTTAAAACTTTCTAATAAAAAAGCTATTTGTAATATATCTGAAATAAATGTATTTATTTAAAATACACATATTATAGAAATATTATTTCAACATTTAATTTTGACGGTATTTGGAGTTTCTCTTAAGCCTTAAACATAATGAAAAGCATAGGCAATAGGAACAGGAAATAAAAAAGTAATCGTGAATATTAGAATGCAAGGTTTCTGATAGGTTGAAATTTCTTATTCCCTGCTTCTATTGCTTGTGTTTTCAATGTATTTAAGGCTTTACTTAGGTGATTTATTTATATAACGATCTTGTTTTATCTTATTATTGTTTGTAATATGTATAATGTAATATAAACATTCAATCAGAATTATAGAATTTACAAAACATTCTCTAAAAAAAGATACGAGATTGTATATTGCAATATAAAGAATCTTAACGTATATGGCTTTCATTTAATAATTTTATGTCTTGCGCGTTAGAGAATGTCCGTGTGTGTAATAGAATCAAGAAAGTATGTTACATGTGTTATTTATCTGAAGATAAAAGAGAAAGAGAGAGAGAGAAAAAGCGGAAGCCGCTGAAAGTCGAGAAAAGAAGACCAATTAAATAACTTTACGAGAAGAGCTTTTTATAAATTTTCTTTTTCATCTAACGACAATCATTGAGCCATTACATATAGTCCTACAATCCCCGTAACGATTCTGGCTCTCGCCACTGCAATGAAGTCAGCCTTTCGGCAGCTTAGTTCGCAGATATCGTCAGCTTTCGTCGGCCTCTCCTATGTGGAAGCCTGCCTCTATAATTCAGCCGCAAATCCTATAATGGCGCGAAAGACGTGTTTCGTGAAGCAATTTGCAGAACGGCGCAATTTGTACGCCTGCATACGTTACGTACAGGCACAGGTTAATCTTGAAACGATACTTCGTATTCAGAATTTGTCATGTAGATATAAAGTGACTCGTAAACGGAATAAGGGAACTGAGCAGTTTTAACAAAAAGATCAAAAAGGAAAGGTTTAAAACTTAAATTATAAAATTAAGGTATAATTTAATTATTAAACAAAAATAATTTCTATTATCAAATTATTATTATAGGACCTCACTGTTTTAATTTTGGTGACACCAGAGAAACGTATAGATATATATTCAACAGTGATGACATAATTTTTTTATTACAGAACAGCAAAATTTAAATTCAATCTACACGATAATCAACATTGTTATATATTATTACATAACATATTTCAAAAATATAACATATTAATGTGTGTGTGCGTGTGTGTGTGTGTGTGTGTGTGTGTGTGTGTAAAATATATATTAATACAATTAGCTCGGCTAATTTAATATATTATTATTTCTGTAATATATACATAATATCACTGTCTCTACAGTGACTATTAATTAATTTTCTAGGTAAACGATTCTTGATGACTACCATGACTACCATTACTTTACAGCTTTCTTTACAGCAAAAGTACTTCAAATCATTTATGCAGTATGTTATAGATATTTTAATAGTTCTCCATGTAAACATCAGAATTTATTACAATTTTTTTATTTCAGCAACTTTGTTATTCTCGAAATGATTAAGAATCAGTTTACAATGATTGCCTGTTAATTCTGTCTCCTGAGGACACTTGATAATCGTTTTGGTTTCCTTATGATTTCGATTGTTTGTAGCCATTGTCTAACAAGAATTTTGTTACTTATACCTTCAATATTTGCGAATTTTAACAAATTATGCATTTTCGAGATGAATGTGCAGGTTCAACATAGTTAGAAGAAAATACTATTTCATCCGAATCTGGTACGGTGGTCATATGTTCTTCTTGTACCTCATCTGAATATTTGTCTGATGCATCGTGTAAATGTTCTTCTGATACATCCGAAGACGGTTTCCATTCTGACTGAGGTTTGTGAAACAAAAAAGCGATTACATACAGCTGATTATATATAGCCCGCTTTACATTATCCAGATATGCGGCCGCGTTATCCAAATATGCTTCATGTTTACGCAGTTTGCTTAATAATAGCGATGGCTTGCGTCGTGGTACATCGATTATATACGGAATAGGATCCGTATATAATTCTGAACTGTCCAAATTGACCGCATCATCCAAATGTACTTGATGTCTATGCAATTTACTTGGTGGTTGAGGCTTGTGTCGTGATGCGTCGATTATATACGGTGGCACTACTGGCAGAACGGAATCCGTGTTTTCCGAACTGATTATGTCATCCGAATGTTTTTTATGCTTTCTTTGTGTTATTGGAGATTGTGCGGCTAACACAATTTCGCAATGTAATTGAATTACTATTAACAATAGAACAGCTCGAATTACACATTGGGATCTCTTCATGATTGTTAAATGTCAAGAGAAACTTCGTCAAAAGAGATCTGGTCCAAGCCACTGATAGTTGCCACTACGTTCTGTTTCGACTTGTTAGAACTTGCTTCCTTAAATCAAGAAGCGGATCGTAAAAGATAATCGAATTCATAAAGGCATTGTTGAAACGCGATATCAGCTATATAATACCTATGAACGTTTCTGTATATGATTGGCCGCGTGTACAATTACCAACAGCGCGATCTCGCACTTGAATGTACATTGATGCATTTCACGCTAACATTATCTCATCAACGCTTTATTAGATGGTGGTTTAAGAGTTAATTCTTTTATTATTAACAGCCCATTTCATTGTCCGACAATCAGTTTCCAGCCCACCATCGATACACTTTCAAATCATTCGCATATATTAGATTCTGGATGACTGCAACTTTTCGCATGCGAATACAAAACATGAAACCGAGAAGTTATTTTGTAATAACAAGCATAAATATCTAACACTACAATACATCTGATTTTCACTCTTTTTAACATAATTCTAAATAATTTTAAAATAAACTTTATGTTATAATTGCAATTATAACAATAATACAAAAATAGAATATGTTCATGTTTGTGAAACTGTGATACCTACATAAAGAGAATGTTTGGAGTTACAGAATAATTGTATCTGTCGCAGGATTAATTCTTCGGAACTATATTCCACAATCAAACTAAAGCCACCTAGTCAACTACTCCCATAACCTGACCGGCTTAAAACTCGATCTCACGCGTTCTAGACCGAAACGAGCGAAGAGCGGGACACCAACGGGGAGAGCGGCATCACACCAAAATCGCTGGTTTCGTGGGTATCCGCCAGTTTCGCGGTGTGGCACACCGGGGCTGAAACTCGGCGAGCCAACAATTCAACGGCAAATTCTAGGGTGACCCAAAAACACGAACCGAACAAAGAGCGTTGGCGGTCGAACAAAGAGATCGTGAGAAGCGAGCCAACAGAAAAGCAGAAGGAGCCACAAGTTCTCTCAGCCTCCGTTCTTCGTGGCGGCCCGGTCGACAAACATATCGTTCTTATCTGTCTCTTCCATCAGTACCACTCCATTTCTCTATTTCTCGAACAGATTCATTTGCCGGTGTGTCGCAATTCCAAATGCACGCGTAATGTCTATGCACCAGCGAATAATGCATAACTGTATTCGCGTAGTTCGCGTCGCACCATAAATGCCTGCAAGCTCGTTGGCGCTCATTAACTTTAGAATGTTCCTCTTGAGGACCCATTGCTTTTTCATACAGCACTCTCCGTACTTTGAGTTTAATTTTACTTCGTGTTTAACTCATTTAAATAATCCTTAATTATAAAATACGTAAAATAATTAATATAGGATAAGAATAACTTTTTTTTTTCTTTTCTTTTAAATAATTTTCCTAAGATTCTTAATTATAACATCTAAATAATATTTTTAGAAATTACTCTCTTATTTTTAATTTTGTATCCCTTCATTATAAGATTGTGCACAAAATTTTTGGTAAAAATTTAAAACGATAGTCGCATCATCTTTTCTCGAGTTATATCTTCTTTTCTTCCGTGAGGCAGAATCGTGCTCGAGCCAACTGCATTATGCTCGGTGCCGCTTCTGGCAAGGGTATTATTAGCTCTTCGCATTATTGTCTTGGATTAACTCACCCATGCAAAAAGCTGTAATTTCTGGTTAACTCGCGCGCATGTTTTTTTTGTAGTTACCCAAGTGATAATAAGTATGAATCTAAATTTGCGGTAATATCGTTGTGCGATGTCAGAAAGTTTATTCATAATTCCTTATTAAATATTGTATAATTAAAACACCAAATTATCCCTTCTTTCATTTAGTAGAAGATTTCATTAATGAAACGATAGATTGTGCATGTCTACAATATTATTATGCATGTCTACAATATTTTTATATTTCTCTCGAAAATATTAAAGTCACGTTCCAGCGCTTGAATTTTGAGCTCACATTTTTCAACCTTTCTATAATTTCCTTTTTACATAGTTGGAAAATTTGTGTTAAATTTAACACATTTCACTAAACAGTCCACTTAAACTTTTGTGTTAACATAAGAGAAATATTTAGAAAATAACATAAACATTATGTAAAAATTAACATAACATTGACGCTATTTGTAAACAATTATATTTCTTCATTAAAATTAACATTTATAATATGTTAAAACATATTTTATTCATTATAATTCATTTATTTTAGAATTTACGTTTTAAAAACGTTATTATTTTTATGTTATTTGTTCACTTACTCATAAATTGTATTATTGTAGTATGTTTATTTTAACCCTAAGAAATGTTGAATGTCAATTTAACACAAAATATTTCAATAATATAATTATGTTAAATTAACACTTGGATATATTTAAAAATTCAACACAAAAGTTTAACAAAGACCGTTTCTAACATAAATACAAAATATTTTTTACTGTGTAAAATATTCCAAGCACAAGAAT